GCTTTTTATATTTTTTTTTAAAAAAGTAAAATTGCAATGTGCTATTTCCTTCAAAGACTTTTTCCATTTATTTCCTAGTGATAGTTTACGTGTGTGTGTGTGTGTGTGTGTGTGTGTGTGTGTGTGCATGTGTTGCTTTTATCTTTACTGTGTTTTTCTATCTCAAGTAATTAAGTGATAACTTTGGCAGGACATTTGTGATGTCTCCTTTCCTTGCTACCTCCCTGTCATTTACATATGTAAATGTTCTCAAGCTCTTTTAAAGTCTCACTCCAAAAAGTGAGGATATCATGTTTATGGCTTCTTAGTCTTGGGCATAGCAGGCTGAAATGCACAATATGTCTTGCTGTGGCTAATGATCTGATCTAGCTAGCAAGAGCTTCTCCTCCATATGTTCCACACTCCAAGGGCACATTCACAGTAGATCAGATTATCTGGGTAACATATCCATTTCCAAAATTGTTTTCTTGCCTTCATTAATTTTTTATTATCCCTTTTAGAAAAAAAAGTTAAGAAAAATTAATAATAGCATAGAGAATTATTTTTTTAATACATATTAGAGGGCTACCCGTGACCTAGTGGTTAAGGGAGTCAGATTCCATGTGGCCAACTATGAAAACCAGCCACAGTAGCTTGAAAAATGCTCGGGGTGCAAGCGCATGCCATAAATGCTGACAGGATGAAGAAATGGAAGAGAAGGGATTGCAGCATGACCATGCCCCATTGGAGGATGTCTTGTCCCTCTCTTTATATATCTCTCTAGGAGCATACATGCTCTCCGGCAAACTAAAAACAACAACAACAACATACATGTCACAACTGATATTCTAGAGGCAAATATTCCTATGATGAATGACAGAGTTGGAGACTATGTAGACACATACTTTGTAAATATTATGCAATGCATGTGTAGTATAAAATTTAGATATAGTAGGAACTTAATGAATTGATGATGGAAACCAATATGTGAATGTATTCAGACATGGAATTCCAGGCTGGTTGATGAATAACTTACTGAACTTGTGTATTTAAGGGTTCTACTAGGTAATTTTACTATTATTGTCTATAATGGATGTATTTATAAGATACATATTATATATCAGGCATTCTGTCCAGTACTTTCTATATACTACTTTATTTAATCTTTACCACAAATGAGGTGTTTTTATTTGTATTTTTTTTCTTTATTCATGATGGAGCATATGCATGCACACCAGACAGTGAGAGAGTGAGATGAGCATCCTCCATAAAGTCTTGTCATGCCATGATTCTCTTCCTCCAGTTCATCAGCCTGTCAGATCTTGGACACTTGTGCCCAGACTGGCAGTGTTTCAGGTTGAACAAGCCAGAGATTCAAAGCTCAGTCACCATGTGGAATCTGGTTTCTCCTGAGCAGCCTTTACCACTGCACAATAGCATCATGGTGCTGGTTTTATTTTTACAGCCATTTATAGGTGGAAAAAGTAATCATTTGAAATGATTTTGGGACCAACCAATGGTGCAGTGGTTAAGACAACTGGATCCTACATGTTGACTGCACAGTTCAAGTCCGGGGGTCTGATGGCCTGAAAAACACACCAGGCATGTGTGTATCCATGCACACCCAAAATCTTGAGAGGAGGGGGAAATGGTGGAGAAGGGTTTGCAACTTGGTTATCCCTTTTCAGGAGTACCTTCTCACTTTCCCTTGTGCTTTATCTGCCTTTCTCTTGCAAGTGCATATGCCCTCTAGAAAAATAAAAGAACAAATAAACTAAAAAAGCAACCCTTCATAGCATTCTAAAACGTATCTATTTCCAATTGAAAATTATTTCTTATTTCTAACTTTAAGAAATAAAGGTGAGCAAAATCTGAACATTACAATATTTTAAAAAAAATCATTATATATTCATTCTAGGTCAAATAATAGTTGACAGAGCCAAGATTTAAATCAGACTTATTTGATACTAAAGTTATTCATTACTGCTAGCACTGCTTCAGATTCAAATGTATACAAACTATGACCCTACCTTTATTAAGCCTGCTATTTATTTAAGGAAACAAAAAAATTGAATTAAAAAACTTCAAAAATGAAGACTTGGGGAATTAATTCTATATAACAGCAGCAGGGAATGACAGCATAAATAGGTAGCAAGGCTCTTAGGAGACACAATGACACAAAAACTGATTATCTGATTATGCAGAACAAACAAGAAATGCTAGAGGCTACCAGTGAAAACATTAAGGTTCCCCTTTCAACATTCATTCACTAATTAAAGATGGCGCTGAAAATACTATGGAGAAGACAGTTACAGAGCTCATTCCAGTGGGAGAGATCTGTGTATCTTTGTCCCTGTGTGCTTACTCATGGAGAACAGGCTATGTGAATGATCTCTCCTACATGGAATATATGGCTTCCCAAAATGTGGGAAAGGAAGATAGCACAGCCTGCAATCCCAGAAGACAGAGCCAGTGTTGGCAGCGTCACTGTTGGCACAGGAGGATAGGTAATGGTTCGGTTGTAACTGGGCAGAGCAGAAACTCTAGCCATAGGGAACCAGGAATTCAACACCAAAAGCAGGTGTCCTCCACCATCTTCCAAGCATGTTTGAACAAATGCATAAAGCAGCAGTGGCGATGGATATTTCAGAATGAGATCACCAGAGAATTCTTCACATCTACTAAGCAGCCTGTCCACTTGGCATTTTATTTGGTGGTTTATGTTGTATTCCCCTTAAGTTCTCAGTAAAACACAGAGTAAGGGTGCTTGTTTTATATGCATGCTTGTTCTATAATTCAAATATTTGTAGGAACCCTGGAAACGGCAAGGTTTTGAAGGTTAAGGTGAAAGGACAATAGAGAGTATGTGTAAATATATACTAAAATGACAATATTCCCTAAAGCAAATAATACAAAGGGATGACAGCTCACTCAGATGTGTTAGAGAGAGTGATCGTTGGGATCTGGAATAGTTAGCTACATCTTGGAGATGAGTCTTAAGGTAGACTTCAGACTGAGCCACCTAGCTAAAAGAATAAAATGAGCAAATACACAAAGAGATTAAGAATCTACCGCAAGTAAGAATAATGGTTTCCAGGGAGAATAAAGTTATGATGATGTGGTTACTCAAAGAGGTTGACTTAGCCAGTTGGAAGTATGAGGAGAGCCAGGGGAGATTTATGGGCCTGGGTGTAGTTATCTGCAGTTTCAAGAGTTGAAACTTTGGCATGAACGACCTCATGTGTAGTCCACAAGGCAGATAGAGGTTTGGTGAGGCATGAAAGCCTATTTAGCTTGGGATGTTCTGTTTAAAGAAAAGAATACAACATTGCAAAATGCAAACTTGCTAGAGCCCATCACAAATAAGGCTTCGAAACTGCCGGTATAGTGAGAGACCCTGAATCCTACACTTCATTAGTTTCTGAAATGTCTGCTGCTGACCGAAGCAGTTCTAATCAAGAGAAATGTGAACCTTATATGTAATTAAATTTTTCTGTCATTTCCATTAAAGAAGTGAAAATGAGCATGTGAAATTTTTATACTTTTAGCCCTATATATCCAAAATATTATCATTTTAACATGTAATCAAGGTAAAAAATTGTTAATGAGATATTTTGTATTCTATTTCATATAAATCTTTGTACTCTAGTGTATATTTAATATATATAACACATATCAGGACTGGTATCGTTTTCTGTGTTCAATAGCCTCATGCGTCCAGTAGCTGTCATACTGAAGAGTACGTGTCTAGAGTCTTCTTACTCAGTATGGGATCCATGGATTAGCAATCCGATCAGCATCGTCATCGTCATCCCCTGAGAGCTTATTAGAATGCAACATCTCAGTCCTCATTCCAGATCTACTGAATCAGAATGTGCATTTATAATAAGGTCCCCAGATGATTTATATGTGCATTAAAGTTTGAGATGTGCATATCTAGAGAACCAAGAATAGAATCTCTGAAAGCAGTCACAGAAAGAAATAACATAGGCGTTCTGAAAGAAAGCCCAGGAAGGACAAGGCTGGGGGAAAAAAAATGAGTAATGGAGATGGTTTCTGGGATCAAGAAGAGAGCAGTGACAGATGACAAAGGAAGAATGAAACGGAGGTTTGGAATTGAGACTCATCATTGTCAGAATTATCCTGAATAATAATAACATCATTATAGCACCATCAGCAGCACTACCACCATCATCATCATTCTTATTCGTAGCTCACTGGTAAACTGATCAGTTTTATGAGAGGAGTAAAACAGATCTTGGATGTGACAGTTAAAAAGAAAATAATGTGCTGTAAAGTGGGTTTAGATTCCTTTGGGACAGTGAAAAGAAGGACAATGCAAATGTAAAGGTTATCTTGGTATATTTTTAAAATAAGACATCTTCCAAGCAGTAGTTACAGGCATTTTTCAACCTAATTATGACAGTCTTTGAGTGGTTTCTCCTTCCCCTCCACAGACATTCTCCTACCCCTAGAAACCCAGCTTAGATACAGTCATGCTTCACTTCACAATGGAGGTGCATTCTGAGAAACGCATTGTTAAGTGATGTCATTGCTGTGTGAGCATCATAGAGTGTACTCACACCAACCTAGGCAGGATAGCCTACTACACAACTAGGCTACATGGTACCACCTACTATGACCTTACAGCATCACTATTATATATGCCAACTGTCAAACACTAGAATGTCATTGTGTGGTATATGACTGTTACCATATTGATCACCCAGAACACCCAGAAACCCCAGGATACATTTAGAACAATTCTGAAGCTTTATCATTGAAAACATTGTAATGTGGATCCAGAGCCACAGAGCTAAAAATAAAAAATGAGACTTTTTGAGCTGCTTAATTGAACACCTGTATGCCTGTGGCCTTGCTTGGTGGTGCATGTCAAGGCTGGCAGTGGCTGAAAAGAGAGGAGTACGGTTTTTTAAATGCTTCATGACTCCTGTGATTGCAAAGTATTTTTTTAATTACAAGAACATCTCTTGTTATTGTTGCAAATGTTATTTACTCACTGTTGCTGTTGATGCAGTCCTCCACTTTTGTTTGGCTGTAAGAAAACATAGATGTTTTTAATTGGAGCATCGATCTCATATGAGGATTCAGATAAGCCCATCCCATTCTATGAGCAGAGATTATGTTGCTAGAATAGATTTTACAAAAAGTGCTTGGTTGAATTAGCAAACTGAGTGCTTCCATGTATAAAGAAAAGCCTAGCTATTGGGACCGTGCATCCAACTTTATATTTCCATAATCAGATTGGTATCCAGAACATAACTGGCACTCAGTAACACCACAGGAGGTATGGGATACTGCACAATGAATGAGTGGATAGCAAAGCAATAATTATTTTCCCTCTCTACAGTTGATCCCAAAACCATTGTTTTCAGTATGTTTGATTACTTTGATGATACTAAAAATTTATCTCAGGACCAGCAGGTAGTGTGATGGTTGGGGTGCTAAACTCCCATATGGATGACATGGTTCAAATTTCAGACCTGGTTACTTGCTTTCTCATCTCCCTCTCTCTCTTTGGTCAAATTGAATGATAATTAAAATTAATTATTTGAAAGTAAAACAAAATAATTTATCTGACTGAAATGTCTATTTTACCTGTATTTTTAAAACTTGAAGTTAACCATTTAGTATTATTTAGTTGGCTTAATCTGATATTGATTTGTGTGGATAAGAGCATATAAAGACAGTGATGGGTCACCGTGTATCATGTGGAAATGGTCTTTTATGGAGAAAGTAATAGAAAGTAATCCTTGAAACAATTTCATACAATATTCCTTTTGTTCTTAGTAATAAACACATAGAGAAAAGTGTGTGCTATGTGATCTGATACAAAAACATGGTGTAAGACTTAGTGTTACTGTGGTTTAAAATTAGTCATTAAATGCATGTAGAAGATGTACCATACACCAGTTATTATACTTGTATCTAGGGAAATAAAGTTGAAAAAGACTGTTTCCCAGCTCACTTTCCTCTTGGGGAGACTTACAAGTATTCTGTGGTTAGATTTTGAAAAGTGCAGTCACAGATGAATGAGCTAAATATGAGAAGCAAATGGAGGGCCAGCCCCATGGCATGGTGGTTAAGGGAGCTGAATCCCACAGGGCTGACTATATGGTTCAAATCTAGGGCCAGAAGGTGGTATGGTGGATGGGGTGCTGGATTCCCACATGGCCAACCATGGTTCAAGTCTTAGACCTAATGGCTTGCTTTTTTACTCTCTCTGTCTGCCTCTCTCTCTCTCTAGTGACTGCTTATGCCCTATAGCAAATTTTACAAAATGATGATGATGATAATAATAAATAAAATTAAATAACTTTTAAAAGCAAACTACAACAAACAAAAATAAAACAAGTCCTGGACTTAGTGACTGGAAAAACATACAGGGTACATGTGGACACATGCTTAAAATCTTGACAGGATGGAGCAATGGAGAAGGGATTATGGCATGACCACACCCTTTGGCTGTTGCTTTCTTTCTCTCTTTTTCTCTTTGTCTTTCTGTCTCTTCCCAGCAAGTACACATGCCCTCTGGAATCAAAATGGAGAAGGCCATCAATTCTGACAGGATGATAAAAGAAAGCATCATAAATTATATTATTTTAATTGAGTCTTGAAATATGGGATAATGAAAATAGGAAAACATAATTCCAAACAAAGGAATAGCAAGTTCAAAGGTATAGACATAGGACTCTCAATGGGGTTACTTAGCAGCACACTAGAGCAATAGGTGGGGAGTGTGTTGGGTGGAATGTTGGGATGAGCCCTAGAGCAATAGGTTAGGCTTGTGAAACACATTATGGGTTCACTAGGAAGGTTGGTTTCTATTCTCTGTAACCCAGACAACTATCAAATGTTTCTGAGTAGTGTTGATTTGGGTGATTATATTTGGGTTTTAGATGATGGATATTAACAGGTAGAATTTATTGCAGTAGGAGAGGTGTGCAGTAATGAAAACTGAGCCAGGAAAACTACCGTGAGGATAGAAAAGGGAGGATGAATATATGATGTTATGGTAACATATTTGGCAAAACAGGGAATGGCCTGTTTTGGGTTTTTGGGTTTTGCTATAGGGTGCTAGAGGGGGGAAAACATATTTCTTCTTTTCTTTTTTTTAATCTTTTCTTATTTCTTTTTTTTTTAAATTAATTAACTTACATTTATTCACTGAGCATTGTCACAACATACAAAATGTAATTTCCCATCCAGAAGATGCTGCATAGTAACTTAATCATACATGTTATCATCAATAATTTTCCATTTCTAGTTTCATATATATTCCCCCCATTTCTCACTCTCTGCCATTTCCCATACTCCTCCCACGCTATCTCAGGTGTCCACATTTGTTTTCCATTCCTTTCCCCCCCCCACGTTTTATTGATTCACAAAATTTCCTAAATAATCTAACTACTTTCAATAGCAAGCTCTGCTGATATATACATATCTATGAATAATTGTCTGACTTAAGGCATGAATCTCTGAGTAGAATGAATATACTATAAGGTAGCACCTAGCTGATGCTATATAGTTTATTATGGTCATTAACTACGTATTTCAAGAAAAGCAGATTTAACTTTAATAAATCAAAGAAATGCTAAGGAAATATACTTAAAACTTAAAGACAAGAAACAGGTTGTAATTCTGTTCAAATAGTAGGTATATGAACCTATCGGCAGCTCAAGGCAACACAAAAATCCTTAAAAATCCTTAAAATCGGAAAACAAAGCCTAGAAAACAAATCAACAATGCTTTAGTCAAAAGTCATAAAATTCTATTTCACCAGTTCAGTCTCATGTACTTTATCTTTTGTTGTGATTCAATTTTCCAAATTAAATTCTGGGATATAATATTCAACTCCAGATGTGTCCCACAATTAAGTTGGCCATTTTCTTAGTTTTTGAAGTCCTTTTGCTATGTGACTGTATTCACATCGACCCTAGAGCTGTTTTAAAAATAACTTTGCTATTCTCTCTCTCTCTACTTAGGTAAAACCCTGGACTAAACTGCAGAAAGAGAACGTTGTTAGATTTCTAATAAACTAGCAATTGTTCTGCATTTCAAAGAAAGACTGAAAATACGTCCAGGGATAAGAATTAAATTTTGTAATGTATCGCTTTTAATAATATGGGGCCAGCCTGTGCCGTGGTGGTTAAGATAGCTAGATCCCACATGACCAACTATGCAGTTCAAATTCTGGGCCTGGCGGGTTGAGAAACATGGTGGGTGCATGTGCACAGGTGCCCCAAATCCCGAAAGGAGTGAGATATAGAAGAGAAAGGATTGGCGCATTACCACCCCCCATAGTGAGTGCTTTTTTTCACTTTCTCTCTCCCTCTCTCTCTGTCTCCAGGGAACAAATCTGCTCTCTGGCAAAATTAAAATAATAATTTAGAAATTTCATGTGTGTAATTTTTTAAGAAAACAAGAAAAAGGATCAAATTTATTAATTTCTGATTTGAAAAGTAGTTCACTAAGTTTTTTTCTTTAATGTTATCTCCCTAAAAATTTAGTGAATTTAAATTGAGTGAATTATTATAATATTATTAATTCTTATTTTAACTTGCACAGTCAGCCATGTAAGATCCAGCCACCTTCACCATGCCACTGACTGGCCCAAGAGATTCTTTAGCTTTATATTACAAGAGTATGTCAACCCTGACTTCTGACCTGTAGACTTTTAAAAGCTGCCTATGGTTGACAACAGAAAATTCTTGTGCTCCAGATTTCATCAGCCATTTTATTCACAGATGTTCTGCTATCCGAGTCTGTCCTCACTTTTGACTGTGAATCTTCCTGTTTTCATTACCAGCTGAAAAATAAAATCTCATGAAACTCACATTTCTAACAACTTGAATCATTATCTGTGCGTGATTCATTTGTAGCCTGAAAAGATACACATGACTTGAGCATCTAAAATCTAAATAGCAGAGACGAATCTAAAGGAAGCATTACAAAGCAAGAAAAGTTTATTTGTAATAGATAAAAATTAATATAAGATACAGTCTTTGCAATATGAAATGATTATTTGATGATAAAATCATTTTACACCACCTTGGCTAATATAATTGATTAATATTAAAATTTTCAAAAACCTATATTATGTTAAATTGCCATTTTACTGGTTGTATTTGACCATGTTTTCTTGCCTAATCATCTGAATGTCAGTTTAAAGACCATATGGTCAATAAACCATTATCCAGCAATACATGATATTTCATTTGTGTTTTGGCATGTCACATCAACTGTTTTCTTTTCTTCCCTTTTTTTTTTTCTCTTTGTTATTCTTCCCTCCCTGCATTTCTTCCTCTCTCCCTTCTTTAAAAAAAAAAAAAAAAAAAAAAGTCCAGTGTTTTAATGTTCTGTAAGAGACATCAGATTAACCTCAAATCTAAAGAGATTAAGATATCAGAGATATTGTTCTTGATCTCAAGAAATTCTTATTTTGGTAGAAGAGAAAATTATCGATTGATAGATAATAGGGTCAGCCTCATAGTCTAGTGGTTAAGAGAAGGTGGATCCCACATGGCCTTTCACAGTTCAAGTCTGGGCCCCACAGCTTATAAAACACAGCAGGCATTTCTGATGAAGAAATGGAGAAGGGATTGTGACATGACCATGTCCCACAAGGAAGTGCTTCTTTCCTCTCCCCATCTCTTTGGCTCTCTCTTTCTGGTGAGTGTATGTGCCTTCTGGCAATGAAAAACAAAACATTGACTAGAGATAGAGGTAGAAATGTTTCTGGATGTGTGTATGCGCCCATTCACATGCAAGGAAGAACAGTGTCCTGAGCACATTTATTATTAAAAAGTAAAAGTAAATAATCTTTCTTATTTCTTTCAGAGGAGAGAGAGAGAGAGAGAGAGAGAGAGGCAGGCAGGCAAGCACCATCAATAGGATCTTGTGCTATGATACCCCACACTCCCAGCCTTTTCAGCCAGTCAAAATCATGGGCACACTTGTGCACTCCTGACATATACAGCCAACCCAGGAACTGAACACTGATCTTCCATGTGGCTTCCAACATTGCAGAGATGTGTCCATCATGCCTGGACCACAAATAAATAATCTGAAGTGAGGTTAAATTATCAATAGTCTTAGAAGACAAAGAAATGAATGGACATTACGGAATTGGCAAACGAAGCTCTTGTATTTTTTTATATCCCTTACGGTAAAATTTTATTCTATGACATGAGAAAAGTATAGTGACTTCAATTTTTAAAAGAATTATTTATTTAATTTTATTTATTTGTTTTTATTTGATCAGAGAAAAAAAAAAAAACAGAGAGAGACAAAGAGAGAGAGAGAAAGCAAACTGTCAAGTCCGGGACTCAAACCACACTTAGCCATGTGGGAGTGCAGCACTTTAACTACTACATGACCTGCCAGCCCAAAGTGACTTCTGTTTTATGTGTCTTGTCCTGTAAGCTCTGGCTCCTCTTCCTTGTGACAAGCATTGACTGGGCACAGTCTCTGCTGTTTAAGTGTAAGTAGCAATACATGATTCTCTTTCCACATGCCCAGCCCTGTTCAGTGACTGTTCAATGGTTATTGATGCATGAGAGCATATATGCAAACTTACATAAAGAACAGATAACACTGACTGGGAATTAAACTGAAATGATGCCTTTTTACGATCCTTTAGCAGTTGGAAGGGCAGAAGTGGGGAAAGGCTTGCTACACAAGCTTGCCCTAAATGGGTGGCCTTTTCCCGTTGCGTTGTGCTTAACTAACTTAGCAGCAGCTTTAGGGACAGATCGCCTTGTGTTTTCCTCAAAGAAGCACTGCAGTGGAATAATGCACTGTAAATGCAACTTGCTCCCAAAGTAGTTCAGTGTTTTGCTAGGGCAGTACTTTATATCATAAACTCACCCACATGGTAGATGTGGCTGTTGCTTAATTATTTCATTAAGCTGCTTCTTTGGCTGAGTCTTTAAAAGCTACTGTTCAATGCAGCTCGGTAGAACTCTTGTGAAAATTCATTTCTATTATCAGCAAAAGTAATAGCTAATAAAGAAGCACTGCAAAGTATAGTTAATTAGACACCAGTATACTGCCAAAAGAATGTATCAATGTCATTTACAGTATACATATTGACACATGTTATTTTCCAAGAATGTAAGAATGCCAATAGTTTTGCTACCGGAAATAAAACCCTTTCCTTGCAAATGTCTTTGACAGTATTTCCTCTACTTGTCACACATATTGTCTAATGTATTGTTCCTTTTAAAAAAATGACACTAAAGTAGAATACCATGAAAACACTATTTTGAGAGGAGAATACAGCCTTTATGCTGTACTATTATTTAGAATTGCTTTATTTATGCAAACTTGGAATTTTTATCTTGATGTTGGCAATAATAGTAATGCAAAATAATGATTACTCAGAATTATATATATATTTTTTTTTGGCTAGAGGGTACATGTACTTGCTAGAGACAGACAGAGGGAAAGTGAGAAAGCATCCTTGTGCGGGATGGTCACTGTGTAATCCCTTCTCCATTTCTTCTTCCTTTGGAAATTTTGGGTTACACACACATGTACCCAGCATGTTTTCAAGCCTACAGGTTTGGGGCTTGAACCTGTAGTCAGTTATGTAGGATCTAGTCACCTCACCCACTGTACCACTAGCTGACCCCAGAAACAGTCTGCTGAGGAAAAAGAAGAGGGTAGTATTTAGATATTGCATAAATCTTTTTTTGTTTGTTTTTAATTTTTTTTAGGTTTTTGCCCTAGGAAGGGTGATTTGCAGGAGAGAGAGAGAGAAAGTACGAAATCTCCCCAATGACGGATGGCCTCAGTTCAATCCCTTCTCCATTCTCCTCCTAGGTTTTTGGGCAGGCACATGTGCCCAGCATGATTTTCAAGTCTTCAGGTCTGGAACTCCAATGGCAGTCGGGTGTGTGAGAGAGAGTCAAGCGCTTTAGCCACCACACCAACGGCTGGCCCCATAAACCATATTTTTAGAATTCCTATTTTTTTTATCTCATTTTTAAAGGTTTTAGGGACCATAAACACTTCTTCTGAGTGAGCATCCCAGAAGTCCCTGTGCATATTGATCTTACGCTTCTAGGCTTCCTACTTATGTGTTCATATTTCTGTGCTAACACCAAAATTGTAAGATTTATTTGTCTTTTCTATGTATCTCCAAAATACTATTTTCTGTTTACTAAATATTTCAGAGTCCAGGCTCTGGCATCATCTGTCTTTTCCTAAGCACTGTTTTGAGTTCAATATTGTGTTCAGACAGCAGAGGTGCTGTTCATTTCCCCCAGATGAGAACTTGACTGAGTTATGTGCAGAAATCTAAAGACGAAATCTGGCCCTGAAGTTGCTTGAGATTATTCATGGGGAGATTTTTCAGCTCTCTTTTTGTTTCTGCCTAGAGCCATTGAATGCCTCTTAAATCACTGACAGAAAATTTAGGTCAACACATTGCCTGAGGTCATTTAAATTTCAAATCTGATGCCATTTTTCTGCTTGTAGCTATTGGGAGAGAAGAGCATTGTGTCCACAGTTACTGAGCTGAAGCCGAAAATCTGGCACAGCAAACTTCAACTCGCAGTCAAACTTATTTATGCTCTGCTAGAGGAAGTGTATCAGGAAGGTTAATGAGTCTAAATTGGCATTCTGTCTTCTGGTTCAGTGCTGAATTGGGAGCTACAGATAGTGATACAAGCTGGCCTCTTTGCCAGATTTTGTGTCACTTGTTATTGTTTAGAACTTGGGTATAGTTTTTGAAAACAGAGAAGATGCTATTCTGGCTCCACAGAAGTGATCTATGAGCAAGACCCAGATTCTCTGATTTATTTAAACAAGCAACAAGAGAATGTTTCCAGGCCTCCATGACCAGCTCAGAGCTCAGACACAAGTGTGGTTCCTGGATTCAACCCAAATTTCAACTGGATGAATTCTGATCTCTGCATGTTCACAGGTGCCATTCTGTCACCTCTGTGACCACTGGCTCTGAAAAATAGATATTATGATATTTCATAAAGGGTTATCAGGAAGATCCAGTTAATACCAGAAGATTTTTGATGAGAAATCAACGAAAATGAGGGAATACCTAGGTAGGTATCTGGAGGAAATAGACACAAATGCAAGTCCCTTAGATGGAAGTTGTTTATAGAGCAAGGAGCAACCCACCCTGGACTGCAGGGGTTAGGTGCTGACCAAGGGAAGCTGGATCCCAATGGCTACTTGCGGTTCAAATCCAGGCCCGCCTGGGTACCTGGAATCCACCAGGGTTCTGATGACAAATGGAAGGAAAAGTATTGTAGCACACAGGCTGTTGGAGAGGTGCTTTCTCCCTCCTTCTGTTTCTCACTCTCTTTCTCATGCACTTACATGCACCCTCTGGCATAAAAAAAAATAAATAAATAAGGAGCAAAGAGAAAGTGGGTGGAGATAAAATCGTAAATATGGGGCATGTGTTGGTGGTTTTGGGATGTGAAGAAAGAGAAATTCATGGAGGGTCTTGTAGACCACTAAGACTTTTTACTTTATACTAAATGATAAAACCTGTGGGATGGTGTGATATTGCTTACAGTTCTCTATTTAAACCCCTGTGGATATCTTTTCTCATCTTGTGATTTCATTGTTTTGAAATTTTTTTTATTGTATGAGAGTAGCAATATACTCGTTTTCAGTGTGTATGGTCCATCAGAAACACTATCCCACCCTCATTTCTCCAATTACATATCAGTTTTTTCTGAGTAATAATGATCAATATTTGAGAATACATGCTTTTCACATCTGAAGTCTAATGACTTTTTTTAATATGTTGGGTCATCGGGAAAGTCATGACACTCTATTGCACAGGAAAATATGTCATGATTTTTTCCGATGACCCATTATTTTATTATTTTTGAGAGGTTTTTGCTATAGGGCGCATGCGCTCACCAGGAAGACAGAGAGACAGAAAACGATAAATCCCCCCCCATGGGGGATGGCCACACCACAATCCCTTCTCCTCCATTCTCCTCTCAGAATCTTGGGCACGCACGCACACGTGAGTTTAAGCCACTGAGTCCGGACTTGAACTGTGGTCGACTACATGGGAGTTCAGCAACATAGCCATTACGCTAACTGCTGGTCCCAAAAATGACCTATTATTTTGACCAAAAGCAGCCATTGAGAGTATATACTGCTTGCTTATTTATTTATTTGTTTATTTATTTACTGTGATTTGCAAGCCACCAGTTCTGGGACTCACACCTTGGTCAGCCATGTCAGAATCCAGCAGCTTCACCACCTCACCACCTGCTGGCCCTATAATGCTTTTTATAACCTAAACTGGACTAGTGACCTTTACGATCTTAAGAACTGACTAGAATATAGAGAGGCATACGAGAAGATAGCAGGAGACTGTGTGCTTTTCCCGTTTAGTTCAATTTTAAATTTCATTTCTTCTTCTAATTAATCTTTGCAGTGTTAGAATTTGAATGACCTCTTAAAAGTGAGCTGGAAATTTTTGACGGATAGTTGGCACATGATAAAGGGTCCATCCATATGTATAAATCAGTGATAGCTACCTCTTCTTCCTTGAAAATTTGGTGATATTTTATAAGAATTTGGCAGTTTCTACTGCTTTTCATTATATTGTCTGGTGAATGACAAACAGTCTTTAGAATAAGGAATAACTTTACATCTCAAAACCGCTCAGCACTGCAACCTTAAAGATATCTTAAAAGACTAAGAATCCAAATGTAAGTGGAAATTTAGCTAAATGTACTGCTTCCAATGGTAGTCATTAAATTGAGGTGACAATTTGGATGAATCAGATCCATTCCAGCACAGCTAAAATATAATTAATCTGGTTGGGTAATCATAATGTTGTCAAAACGTCTTCTCTATGGACTGGCGAGTTTCTTTTCCTTACTGAGTCTAAGATGTATCCTATTTGCCTAAATGTTAATATGTGTGTCAAAGAAGTACAGGGGAGAGGTCTAGAGCTAAAGAAGAGGATAAAGTAAGCTAGAGATGACTTTATGTTTATTCTCATTTTCGTTTTGTGTGAAGCAAATGTTTCTTCAGTGTCTAAAAATGGAAACTTTAGTATAGCTCTGCTTTATGAGAAGAAGACAGTGGTTTTCAATGAAGCAAACTTTTTACAAGAAATTCTTCTGGTCTCTTTATAACTGTAATCCTTTAAGCACAGTTGGTACGTCACTCTTAGTATTAGATGCCATTGAACCTTAACACTGCCCCAGAAAACATAAAAGTGGTTAAAAAGGTCACTCTTCTATCAGGGCCACTGTGTTCTAATCTATTTAGGGGGTGACTAAAAAACACTTGTGAGTTGGTACACTCGGATACTTACACTAGCATAGCAGGAAT